CAAGCTCACCAGCTGATCCTTGGAAACCCTATACAGGGTCGCTGTGGGTCGGAACTGACTCTATAGCACTTAATATAACAACCGCCATTGAGAAGTGTCTGTCTTTCTTACTTCCTGATGCCTTAGTCTGGGAGCTCTGCTGAAACCTGCCCACCATGGATGGTCCTGTTGGTATTTAAAATACTGGCATAGCTTACAGCATCACAGTAAAACACATGCCACCACAGCGTGAGAGACTGATGGGTGAGCGGTAGATCCTTGTGCGGTGGTGGTAGTTGTAAAGTGTTGATGATCCTGTATGGAGTTTCCGAGGCTGCAAATCTTTGTGGGAGCAGAAAGCCACGTCCATTTAACGTGGAGCAGCTAGTGGGCTGGAACCAGAAACCTGTGGTTCACAATCCAGTGCATATCCTACGGTTCCACTGTGCTACCTCCTGGCGGGTATGACCTCTAATTTTCCCAACTGCAGATGGGGAGACTGAGGCACAGAGTACATTGTGTGACTTGGCCAGGGACACACAGCTAAGAAGTGGCAGATCAAGAATTTGAACCTAGGGAATCTGAATTTAGCAGGTAGGCTCTTAACCATTGTTAGGATTCTACCTTAAGCATTTAGTTGGTACTTTACTTGTTTTCCCTTAGGCCGGTCCTGGAGAAGTTGTTTGTTAATGTCATTGTTGTTAGGTGCCTTCAAGTCAATTTCCCTCTCCTATGGCTCCATGACTCCATATGACAAAGTAGAACTGCCCCGTGGAGTTTCCTTGGCTGTAATCTTTATGCCTGGCCTGTCTTCTTTGACATTGCTGGGTGGATTCAAACCTGCAAAACCTTTCGTCTAACAGCCTAGTACTTCATGGGTGTGCTACCAAGGATCCTTTTGAGGGCAAAGTCAGGGTTGTGAGTTCCATTTCATGGATGAGAACATTTTGACTGAGAGAAGAAAAGTCACTTGCTTCAATCGATGTTTAGCCGATCAACCTTCTCCCCACGCAGCTTCTTAAGGGTAGGGGCCCTGACCCATCACCCGGACCCGGTCTCACAACAGATTCCCACTAAAAGCTGTTTCTTCATTTAAATGGGTAGGTACTGCTCCAAGTTCTTTGACCAGTGTGATTCTTTTATTTTTGCCCAAAGTTTTCTAGGAGATGAGAATTATAGCTTCATATTTTAGGTGGGGAAACTGAGACTAAAAACAGTGAGGTCACTTGCCCTCGGTCACACAGCCAGCAGGAGCAAAGCAGGACTGAATTAGGCAGCCTGGGTGAGAAGACTTCAAAAGCCAGGGAAACCTATTGTTGTTGTTGTTATGTGCCGTGGAGTCGGTTCTGACTCATAACAACCCTGTACAGGGTTTCTGAGGCTGTAAATATTTATGGGAGCAGAAAGCCTCGTCTTTCTCCTGTGGAACAGCTGGTAGTTTTGAACTGCTGACCTTGTGGTTCACAGCCCGATTCGTAACCACAACGCTACCGGAGCTCCTTAGGGAAACCTGTTAGAAGGGCTAAAACAAACAAACTGACCATACTAAGTGTTAACGAGGGCATGGAGGAACTGGAACAGCTGGGGAAATGCAAAATGGTACAACTGCCCTGAGAGAGAAACAGCTTGGCACTTTCTGCTACCACACACCTGAACAGTCCCACTGCTTGGTATTTATACATGCTGCTGTTGTTCAGTCTGTAGAGTTGGTTCCGACTCATAGCGACCCTGTAGAGGGTTTCCAAGGAGCAGCTGGTGAATTTGCATTTCTGACTTGTGACTCAAACCAACCTTGCAGTCCAGTGCTTACCCTACAGCACCATACCAGGACTGTGCTCTATTCATCGTCACCCTTGATACACACTTGGAAGAATCTCAGAGGCACTGGGATGAATGAAAGAAGCCAGTCTCAAAAGTTATCAGCTGTATGATTTCATTTACATAACGCAGATGGAAAAACCCCTAGAGTAACAGAGAACAGATCGGGGGTTGCCAGGGACTGGGGTGAGACAGGGCTGGGGGAGTATCTGGGATAACACCAGGGACTTTTTTAGGGTGATGAAACTGCTGTGTGCTAATTTAGAAGTGTTGTTGTTATTGTTGTTGTGAAGTGCCACCGAGTCGGTTCTGACCCATAGCGACCCTGTATAGGGTTTCTGAGGTGCAGCTGGTGAGCTTGAACCGCCGACCTTTCAATTCAAACTGCTATGCAGTCTGGCGCATTAACCCACAGCACCACACCAGGATTCCTTAGAAGTGGCAGTGGTATTCATATGAATCTATCTTGTTAAGTGCTGTCGAGTCGATTCTGACTCATAACGACCCTGTATAGGTTTTCCGAGAAGCGGATGGTGAGATTGATTCACTGATCTTGCAGTTCAAACCAACTTTGCAGTCCAGCACATTAATCCACACTACCACACCAGGACTCCATAGTCCAATGCTTATCCTAGAGCATCACTCCAGGACTCCACATGAATCTATAGATGTGGTCAAATGTATAGAACTGGACACCAAAATGTTGTTAAGTGTCATCCATTCAATTCCAACTCATAGCAACCCTGTATAAGGTTTCGGGGGAGCGACCAGTGAGATTGAACCACCTACTGTGCGGTTCAAACCCACCTTGCAGTCCAGTGCTTATCCTACAGTGGCACACCAGGACTCCAAAATAAGTCAACTTTATTGTATGCAAATAAAAAATAAAAACAAAAGGCCAGAGGGGAAACCCGAAGAGGAAGGAGGCGGCCAGGCAGGTTCGAAGGGTGGGTGAGCCGGTGAGCTCTTCCGTTGTCAACATCGCTCACTGACACCCGTGGGCAGCGGGAGGGACGCCGGGTTAATTATAGCTTCCGTTTGGACCTGAGAGAGAGAAGGTGGTAGCAGCTGCCGAGTTGTTGTGACATCTCCCCCTGGTCCGTGCAGAACAGTCCAGTTAGACCCTGTGTGGGCTGTGCACAGGCATGCCCCCCCCCCATGACTCTACTGTCTCCCTTGGGTGGGGGTGTGAGCTGTGAGCAGTGGTGGCAACAACACATCCGGTGTCTTCCTGAGCCTCACCCCCTCCCCACCCACCCAGCACCCCTGGAGGGTGGGGAGGAGGCTGGATGTCACATTCACTACTGGTGTGGCGCTGTGGGTTGGTTTGTACCACAAGGTCAGTGGTTCAAGCTCACTAGCCGCTCCTTGGAAACCCTATACAGGGTTGCTGTGGGTCGGAACCAACTCGACAGCACACAACAACAACAAACCAAGCTTATGTCCTCTGAACACAAGCTGTCACATCACCTCTGCACTTCATCCTGTCTTGTGTGTGCTGGCCAGTTGTGTCTGTGACTCACAGCTACCCTACAGGACACAGGAGGACTGCCCCATAGGGTTCCCTAAGCTGTCATCTTTACGGGGCAGATCACACTATGTCTTTTCTTCCACATAATGTGCGTTTGAAGCTCTTCAACTTTTATGCAGTAGCTGAGAATTTAACTGATGCATCACCAGGAACCCTTCTCCGAAGTCCAACCCCCACCTCACCCCATGTTTTGATTCTCTGTTCTGGTGTTTTCTTTTGCTTTTGGACCCTGAGACATTTGGAAGCTGGAGGGGGCCTGGGGATAGTTCCGCACTCTGCCTCTGGTAACCTCTATAGGGGTTCTAAAAGATAAGACTTGCCTGGGACCCCACAGCAATAAGATGGACAGTTCACCCAAGGCTAAGGTCTGGTCATCCCCAGTTCGGTCCTTCAGATGACTTCTGAGCCTCATCTGCAAATGGGGGATTGTTTACCTGCCCAGTCAGAAAGACTGGACTCATGGTGGCCCCCTGTGTCGTAGATAAATGCTGCCCCATAGGGTTTTCTTGGCTGTAATCTTTACAGAAAGAGATCACCTGACCTTTCTTAGTGGCACTTAGTGGGTGGGTTTAAACTACCAACCTTTAGGTTAAGTGCACATTGCGCAACCCAAACCAGAGGGTGGCGTGAGTAGAAACAGGATACTGGAAGAAGGAGAAGTATCCAGTGTCCTGGGGCACGTGGTGGGATGGGGATGACCTCTGTCATTCATCCAGCCTTTGTCAAACCTCACTGAGCTTAGTTTCCTCAGCTGCAGAATGGGCATAAGTAGTTCTCATCTGGCTGTGATTAAAAGCCCTCTCAACCACATCCCTGACCCCCTCTCCTCAGCAGCCTTCTGCTGAGCCAGCCTTTCTGTGATTACACCCATGTCTCCTTTGTATAGATTTTGCTTGTTTGAAGGCGAGGTGCTCAGCTCAGCTCTCCATCCCTGATTCCCAGTGCAGTGCCCAACACAACACGGTAGGTGTGCCAGACCTGGCCCCAGATGGAGTTGGGGGCCACAGGCCTGGGGCAGACACTGGGTGGGAAGGGAGGGAAGAGGGGCGAGGCTTGGGCAGGGCACCTCTATTCCCTGGCCCCCTTCCTGTGGCTGAGCTGGCTTTTTTGGCAGGTTTGAAGGAGGGCGTCTGGGAGATAAGAGGGAGGGAAGAAGAGCTTGCTGTGTGGCCGGGGTTGTCTAGGCATAAGTTTAATGGGAGGCCTGGACTTCGGAACCCAGAAACCCCCGCTTCAGGCTTGTGCACATCTGTCCCTCTTCTGAGCTTTGTCTTTGATGGCTCAGGCCCTTTGTTGTCCCCTCCCCCACACCCTTTCCTAGTCCATGTGCCATTGATGGCTTCATCCAGCCTGTCACCCTGGGTGTGCGATGTCCACTTAGGCCAGATGGACTTCATGCAGCTGAAAGGGCCTTGGCAGCATCTGCCCTCATCCCATTTCACAGATGAGGAAACTGAGGTGGAAAAGGACAGTGATTTGCCCAGCATCATACAGCGGGGTTATTGAGTGCTGAGTCTGGGTCCTTGGATTCCCATCTCATTGCCCCTGACTGAAGGGAAGCCCCTAACAGGCCCTGGGGGGTGGGGTCTGGCCTCTCCTCGATATTAGGACCTCCCCCCTGAGGTCTAGGTGCTGGAAAGGACCAGAGGCCTGAGGCAATGTCTCCCTTTAGCCCCTGTGCATAGGACCGGCTCAGGACAAGATGGCAGCCAAGCAGCCCCCACCCCTGATGAAGAAGCACAGCCAGACGGACCTTGTGAGCCGCCTGAAGACTCGGAAGATCCTCGGCGTGGGAGGGGAGGATGATGATGGGGAGGTACACCGCTCCAAGGTGGGCTTCTGGAGGGACCCTGAGCTGGTTGTGCGCTGTGGTTGGACTCTGCACACCAGGGTGGGGAAGGCAGATGGGCCCATCATCCGGGTAGAGTAGCTAAGGCCCATGTTGCTGCAGGAGCCCTCAGGTTTAGCTCATTTTCTCTAGAAACTGAACAGAGATGCCAGGGGAATAGTAATAATAAAAAAAACAGAGATTAGAAGTAATTGATATACTTTTGCAAATAAATTGCTTATTATGCACCATTGTGTTACAAGCATTGTGGACTCTTCTCAATTTCCCACGGAAGTCTTCGAGATCATTGATTATCCTCATTCTGTAGATGAGGAAACTGAGATTTAGGGAAGGTGAAGGACTCGCCCCGAGGCACACCAGTAAGTGTGGCAGAGCCAGGTTTTTAGCCCTCGTCTGACAGATCCTTGAGCCGCTGCTTGTAACCACATTGTTTTCAGCTTCCTTTAAACTTCACTGTCAAAGAAAGGCAGGAAATGGGGTGGCCTCAGCATGAGTCCAACCTGGGACAACTCTTGCCCAAAGCAGAGGGTCCGAGGCGGGTTTCTGGGTGGTGTGTTGCGGGGAGAGGGTCTCAGTGAGCTCGAGTGTGATTCCTCTGACCCCTCTGTGTCCACAGATCAGCCAAGTCTTGGGCAATGAAATCAAATTTGCAGTTCGGGAGCCTTTGGGACTCAGGTAAGCATTTATGTGTATTTGGGGTTCCCGGGATTTTGTGTGTGTGTAGCTGCAGAAGACCCGGCCCCATTTTGCCTTGTACCTGGATGGTCTTGTGTCTTGATTCCAGCCTGTCTTACAACCTTCCCCATACCAGTCATCCTGGGCTGGGAAGGAGGGTCTGACCCTCCTCTCCATTCCTCCCCAGGGTCTGGCAGTTTGTGTCTGCTGTGCTCTTCTCTGCCACTGCGATTATGGTGAGCCTTCACCCCACCTGTGCCTTAGCCCTGTGTCTGGGTCTCCCAGCCTTGCTTCTCTCTGGGGCTCTTGCCTGCCCCCCCTCCATGCCCCCCAACAACTCCTGGCATTGCCATCACTGAAGCCCCACCCCAAGTTCCCACCATGCACTGCCTGGAGCATCCTTGAGTCTTGGCCTTTCCTTACCCATGGAAGGGAAGGGTGCAATCAAGACCTCAGCCCTGGACTGTCCCAAGGACCACAGCCTGGCTCTTCGGGGAGGAAGGGCAGACCAAAGTGTCCTGAAGAGCCAGCCCTCTGAGTGGCTCTCTCTGTGTCTCCAGGCCCTCACCTTACCTGACCAACTCTATGATATAGTCTTTGATGGAGCCGAGGTGACTGGCAAGACCCCCATCCGCCTCTACGGTGGTGCCCTCCTCAGTGAGTAGCGATGGGAGATGCTGGGGGAGGGGACCCAATTGGGGAGCATCTATTTGAGCAGGGAGCTTCTCTTCTCCCCTGCTGGAAACTGTAGCATTCTGTGTCTCCCAAGGTATCTTCATTCAGCTGTTTAGTCTGTCTCTGTGTGTGTGCTGCCATCTTGTGGTCATTAGCAGAACGCACCCAGTGGATCGCACTACCCTGGGCGCTGGAGTACAGAAATGAATGAGGGCCTTGCTCTGCCCCTCCGGGGCCTCACAGTATAGAAGGTAGAATCAACCCCTCGCACCCACTCCATCTTTATCCTGGGCTACTGGGATCAGATCCTCCTGGGCCTCTCTTTTGAACTGTTTCTGTTTCCTGTAATCTGAGTTGCACACAGTGCCTGCAAGAAAGGTGACTTAAGAGTTTTTAAAACTCTCAACGCAGGTCATTGCCCCTCTCCTCCAAAACATTCTGTGACTCCCTATTGCCTAGAGGGAAAAGTCCTGGCATACAAGGTCCTCTGAGGGAGTGGATCCAGCTGCCTCTTCCGTATACCCTATAGGGGGCCCAGACTCCAGCCATCTCTGATGTGGTCCCATTTTCCAAGGCCAGTGTGCTCAAGATTCCCCAGTCCTGGTGTGGTGCTGAGGGTTAATGTCGGTTTGAATTGCATGGTCAGTGGTTCAAACTCACTATCCCCTCTGACTCCACAGCATACTGATTGCATTTCGACTCAGTCTTCAAGGCTGTGGCTGGAGCAAGGGGTGGTGGGGGTTGAGGCTACTTCAAGTGTAGCATCCACACAGTGGGAGAGCTGGGATTCTGAGTTATTGTTGAGCGGCAATGAGGGCAGAGCCGGTCCCCAGTGCCAGCTGTTTCTGGGTAAGCTGGGGTGACAGAGACTCTGTGGGGTGGTTCTTCCAAGAAAATAGGGTCTGTGCTTCCCCCACCACCTGGAGGAATTCCTTACCATTAAGGAATGTACCGTCTCTGGGAATCCTTGTGGAAAGAAGATGCAACTAACTATAGGACCAGATAACCATGAACTCATAGATCCTATCAGCACCGAACTAGGCATGTACTAGTTGGCAGAAGGTCAGTACACCCAGTTTACACAGAGACTGAGCCACAGTGTGGGGGAAGTGACTTGCAGGGGCGAGCTGTCCGTCCGGCTGACTTGTATATGGCCCTGCAGGTGGTGGGTGGAGGGAAGGAGAAAGGGGTGGGCCAAGCTGCTCCACCCTCACCCACTGGCTCCACCCACCCCAGGCATCTCCCTGATCATGTGGAACGCTCTGTACACTGCCGAAAAAGCCATCATCCGGTGGACTTTGCTCACCGAAGCCTGCTACTTCGGGATCCAGTTTCTGGGTGAGCATGGAGGTGGGCCTGGAAGGGACGGAGGAAGCAGGGGTGGGGGTCAGCAGGGCAGCTCCCCCCCCCCCCCCCCCCCCCCCGTCTCCAGCTGCTCACCTTGATGTACTTATGTGTGTACCAGCACACACTTAGTTTGGTCCACACATTCTATCTACTCCACTACTGCCATGTCGGGGTGCATCTGAACCGAAATGTCTTAAGACTGGAGGAGGTAGGGGCAGGTTCTGCTCTTGCCAGATGGCAGGGTCACTGACTTGTTTCTTCCCCCCACTTTCTCCTGCAGTGGTCGGTGCCTCCCTCGCTGAGACAGGTCTCATGTCCTTGGGGGTCCTGCTGCTACTAGCCAGCCGCGTCCTGTTTGTGGCTATCAGCGCTTACTACTACTACCAAGTCGGCAGAAGACCCAAGAAAATCTAGCTGCCGGTCAGGCCAGGGCACCCCCCTCTAGTGCCCGGGGTAGGTGGGGCAGGGCTTCTGTTCCCATGGTTCCTGGAAGGCCCCCCTCCCTGCCCTGCTTGTGCCTGCAGGGGAGGGCCAGGTCCAGGCAGGCAGGGGTAGGGTCTCTCCAGGATGCTATTTATGGAGATTCTGGTTTGAGATGCTCAGCACCCCGTTGTCACATGTATGTGACGTCTTCAGTTCTTGAGTTCCTTGGCCTCTGAACCCTTCAACAGACAATGACTGGCGAATTCGAGTTGTGGAGTGTTGGGTTGAGTCCAGGGGTCTTGGGAGAGGCTGCCTGTGGACTGCTTTCTCTGCCCTCTGACCAGGTTAGAGGACATGCCATGACTAACCTAAGACCCTGTGCTTGTACAACTCTGCTGGACCCTTCCTTACCTACGAACACGCACACATACACACCTTCCAGTTGAGGAGGCAGGTGTGGGCTGAGTTCCTGCTTGCCTTTCAGCCTTTCTCTGCAGGTGGGCCACAGAGGCCTGTCCCTGTCCCCACCCCAAACCTGGTCCAGTGGGAGCTCTCTTTGGCTCTGGGCTGTTCTGCTTCTAAAGTTACCTGTGCCCCAGGGTCCCTAGAGGTCTTAGGAGACTCCTCCCACCCAGTAGTGGGTCCTCCCAGACAGGTGGGTGCAGGTGACTCCAGGCAGCCTACCTGTCAGTGATGGGGTTTGGAGATGCAGAGCAGGAGGGTGTCTCCTTATCCCTGGATATCTCCATCAGCATCTGAAGCTCACCTGGCTCAGCTCCTACCTGAGATGTGTTACAGACAGCAGTGAGCGGAAGACGCCCTGCCTGTCCTTCCCTGCTGCTCCTCTCCATCCCGTGTGTGTTCCCATGTGTCCCCACTTCTAGCCTGCTCTTGCTGTCCAGCACGTGCTCCCATTTGAGGATTGAGGAACGGTGTGGAGAGAAACAGCCTTAGATTCTCCTGGAGTCTTAGATTCAGCCCAGCTCTGGCTGCTGCCTCAGCTGGCCTCCGCATGGCTTCATGGGAATCTTGCCCTGCCCATGCATGTCCAGCTGGCCCCATAGGTATGCACCCAGTGACAGGGCCTGTGCCCAGCAGCATGGTGGCACCCCACTGTGACACTGCTGAGGAGGAGGGCCCAGAGGGTGACCAGGGCTGAGCAGGACTGGGAACTTGGTCTGTGAGAAGGGGACTTGCTCTGCTACACCCATCTCTGTGTACCTATGTACCTTTACCTACCCCAGATCCTGCCCCCTGCTACCACACCTTGGGCCGTTAGGTGCCCCAGGTTGTAGTCCCCACCCAAGCCAGGTCTCCATGGTGAGGGATGATTTGGGTAGGGCAGGTAGAGTCCAGCCCAGGAGACAGGTTGGCTGTCGACTGCCGTGGAGTCAGTCCTGACTAGGTGACCTTATTGACGGTCCTCGTGGATTGGACTGGTAGGATGCACAGGGCATCTTCATTGGGTGCATTTTGGAAGATCACCAGACATTTCTTCTAAACCCACCTTAGTGTGGAAACTGCTGAAACACATTCGACATCATTGCAACATAGAAGCCTCCAGAGGGAGGAAGCTCAGAAAGGGCACTGGGGGGAATCTAATGGGGTCTTCCAGCATGGAAGGCGAGAATTCTACCACAGAGCCAATAAGCTTCCATCTTCTCAGCTGTAAAGTGGGGCCAGTGGCAGGACCTTACATGGTGGACGGTTAGGACTTGCCAGGAGGGAGCCGCCTCGGCTCAGGCAGAGCCATGGGTATTAAAACACTGTAGTGGGGGTGGGGGCTCAGATAAGGCCTGGGGGGCATTAAGGGAAGGACAGTAACAGAAGGGGGTAGAGAAGCCATGTGTCGGGGTCCACCTCTCCTAAAGACTTAGAATACCAGCCCCCTCCAGTCTGCCCCTGCAACCAGACCCCAGCACCTTGAGCCAAGCTCCAGCCTTAGCCGGTCCACCCCACCCCAAATTAAGACCATCTTTCTTCACAGTTACTATTTATTCTTTGTTCCTATTTCTTTTCATAAGAAACTCACAAAAAAGGGAAAAAAAGAGAAAAAAAAAAAAAACAGTGCAAAAACCATCCGTGTGGGTGTCCTGTTTTATATTACAAAAACTCCTCTTGACATATAATATAAAAAGAGGGGGGGGGCTCAAGGAGATAAACATGATAAATTAGCTCTGCTATCTACTGTAAGGACCATTTACAGTTTTCAAAATAGACTTTTGACATATGACCCACAGGATACTTCTGAAGAGATGAGAGCTCTGTGAGGGGTTCTCTGGACATGGATAGGGGAGAGAGAGGGGTTATGGAGGCCAAGGAGAGGCCCAAGCAGCAAGACTGGATGCCAACAGGGAGCCAGGGGAGGGGGCCAGGCTTCCTCACCCCCGCTGCTTAAGCTGAGTTTTTCACTAAGATGCAGTTGCTTTTGAACAGGAAATTGGCTCTGAGGACAGGGTGGAATATGTGATCAAATATGTAAGGTCTACCCTGTCCCTTTTCCTGTTAGTGGGGTCAGAGGAAGTCTCAGTTGCAGGCTGTTTAATTCCTGGGGTTGTGGGTGGGAGTTAAGACATCACCCCCCTTCCCCTGCTGTCACCACCAGAACTGTTATGGCTTGCACCTGAAACAGCTCAGCCTGAGGCCTAGCACCTGAAGCTCTTGTGCTCTAGGAAGGCTCACACCCCCTAGGAACAGCCTCAGGCAGCCTGGCCTGAGTGGTCAATACTCCTGGAGTTCTTGGCACCTTGAAGGGAATCTCTTGGAGATGAGTCTCATCATCCACCTCAGAACTCACCTTCCTCCATGACCTGCTGTTGTCCTGCCCTGACCTGCTGTTGTCCTGCCCAGGTTCTTATTGTCTTCCCTCTAATGTTCATGGGACCCAAGGGGGAGGGAGGAGAGTGGATGGTGCCACAGGCCCAGTGCTTGTCTCTGAAGGCCCCTGACTCACCCAGGCAATGGGGGACCAGATGGGCCCCATCTGACTTCTGAAGCCCAGCCAACCTGGTTTGGGTTTTCTGTCAATAAGACCATCCATTTGTCTGGAAGGTGGAGCTATGCTTGGTCTAGAAAGAGGCAGGTCCTCGAGCCTTCTCAGGTTCATCCCACCTTGAAGTGGGGGCAGTGCAGAGGAAAGCAGACGCCATGCTGCTCCTTCCAGCTCCACACCCTTGGCAGACATCATTAATCAAGCAGGGGGAGCAGAGACCATGACCTCAGGGCTCCAGGAAGGAGACAGAGAACCAGCTGCTGCTCCCCCTGACCCCTTGGGATGCCCAGCCTCTGGATTTGGAGCCATTAGAGCAGGCTGCTCCAGGGACAATTTGAGAAGACCTAGTGAATGGGCCAATACCAGTGTGAACAGCAGGGCACAGGATGGGGTGCCAAAGGACAAGTTGAATCATTACAGCAGGCACAGGGCTGTATCTTAGAATAACAAGTGATGAGTCGGGAACACGGGCTTAGGATTCTGAGAGACAGAATGGGCTTGTCACAGGACCACAGCTAAGGAACTGTGAAGAAAGAATAGATTCTGCTCATCTTTCCACACCAGTGGCAGGCATCATCAATCAACTTCACCCTCCTGGCAGACATCACTAGTCAAACTTACTGTCCCTAGCTGGCATCACTAAGAGCGATTACAGTGCCCTCTCCTATTGAGCCCAGATCAAACTTCAGTATCCTTGGAGCAGCATGCGGCAGCCATTCCTGTTCCATTAGGATGGATACTCCCATGGCATCCAGGTGCCAACACGGGTCTAAAATTTGAAGCCTGTGTGTTCAGATTGATTCGTGGATGCTATGTGGGAGTCCTGGTATGGTGCTATAAGATAAGCACTCAATTGCAAGTCTGGTTTGAACCACAAGATCAGTGGTTCAAACTCACCAGCTGCTCCTTGGAAACCCTCTACAGGGTCGCTATGAGTCAGAAACACTCTAGGGCACTTAACAACAACAATGTGGGTGTGAATAGGGTGTGTCTATGGAAAATAGCACCTACAGCAAGTACTGGTAAATTGCTGAATGACCTCTCACAGCTGACAAGGAAATTGTACTGATGAGTAGAAACCAAGCTTTGGTGGCCCGATCCCCAGCCCACCCCAGGGATATGTCATACCCTACACAAGCCTCTGGGTGTGACTGAGTTCTGGGAAAACCTTGCCTGTCAGAATCTGGAGGGAACGTTCAGAAAGAAATGTGCTGTGGACAGCAAGAAATGGTGTCACTGGAGTGGCAAAGATGCTCAGGGGTCCTTTAGGCTGGAGACAAGAAGGCTTGGGGGACACAGCATCTGATCTTACCGCTCCCTAATGGGAAGCCTGGTGTGGGCTGTAAGATCAGCATGGGGCTGTGAACCACAAGGTCAGTAGTTCAAATCCAGCAGCTGCTCATTGGAAACCCTATACAGGGTTGCTATGGGTGGGAACCGACGCGATGGAAGCCATGGACGAACAGAAACCTCTTCATGTATTGAGCTGATGCTGCAGTCAGAGCGGTCTAAAGGCAGGAGGGCTGCCTGGGGAGGTAGTGAGCGCTCAGCCCCTGGAGGTGTGAAAGCAGAGGGTGGAGAAGTCTTGGCAGGGGTCTCTGGAACATGATTCTGGGGGCTCCTTCTAGCCCTGGGATCCAGGGAGGAGATGGAAGTGAAAGTGGGGAGAAGAGGACAGTGTAGAAATGGATGGAATATGGCATGTGAACATGTGGGGGTTTAGATAGGTGGGAGGCGGGCAGGGGGCACACAGTTCAGATTTTCTTAGCTATAGAGCAGAGGGGAGGTGCTTCCTGGCTAGGCTGCCCGCAGTTTTCATGAGATGCTGGGGGAAAGGAGGAAAGTGGCCAGTGGATCTGCAGGCCCACACAGCCCTGGAAAGAGTGCCAGATCTCCCCCAGGTCTAGTTCAGAACTGCCATGCGTATGCTGTGTAACTGTGCACAAGTCGCTGCCCCTCTCTTGGCCTTTGAGGTCGTTTGGTCTAACAGATGGGGAAA